TATATACAGGATGTCCCAAAACTCCCGCATTTGGAGTACACTACGTGATTCTCTATGCTAAAAGAAACAACTTTTTCCTTTAGCAAAATTGCGTGCGACGAATAATTTTTACAGTGGATCAGATTAAAAGTGACGAATGAGCGCGCGTATGTGCGTAGCGGTCAGGGCCGGCACGCGTTCCATAGGCCGGTGCGCATTCTTCAGGCCGGCGCGACCTGGTATCTAATCTTTGACGACTTTACGTACTATATTGTTTAAAATATGATAAAAGTTAACAAAATAAATATTGTTTTTATCCTTTACGTAACAATTCAATAAAAGAATTATCTGATTTTGTAACATTATCTGGAAATAAAAATAAATGTAAATAATATGGTGTATAAACTGAGCATTCTATTATTTTAATTACTGCGCAATTGCATATGATATAATTTTTTTAACTTCTCTGATACAAGGTATTAGAAATTTTACACTTTTACGAAATATGTGAAAATGTTTTAAGATATCGATATAACCGTTATTGAAATTTTATGAGATTATGTAATTATTGTAATATTATAAAAATAAAAATTTTTGTATAATCTTTTGTGAATTTTTTTGAGAAAATAAAGGGAGAACCAGCTCTCTCAAAATATCTTAAATTATAAATTTAAATATTCTATCTTTAAACATTATTATAAAAAAAAATTTAATCTTTTTACTTTTCATGATTATGTACTCATGTAATTATTAAGTATTCAGTAATTAAATTCAGTATTTTTTATATTCATATGCAATTGCGCATAAGACAAAAAAATAATTAAAATAATGGAATGCTCAGTACACCTGTAATGTCCGCAGAAAATTAAAACTTGCGGACGTTCAGCCAAAATGATGTAGGTGTAGTCGAACCTTAGGTTAACGCATGCATGTAATTTAAATATTAAGATATCCTAATATTAAGGGGATCCTAAAGCGAAGGACGAACTCCGACGACTGTACGTTAATGCCATCTAAACGGAATTAAAGAAATATCGGTAACGATCGACAATTTAAAATGTCGATATTATCGACAATTTAAAAAGTCTACATTATCGACATGACTAATTCCGTTTACTCATTTTAATTTTTACCTTATCATTTTACTAAATAAATGAAAACACATGTATATATTGTATACATGTATGTCAATGCAATAGTCATTCTTCACGACGTTCGCTATGTCCAATATCCTTATAGACTAGGATACGAAGGATACTACATGTATTTTTCTCAAAGAGAACATGTATATATTGCACATATGTAGTGAAGCGACTCTTTGCTAGAAATAATTCATGGAATTATTTGTACTATTGCTATTGACTAGTTGTCTATGATATCTAGTACAAACATATATTTAATTTTATTAGATTTTGCGATAACATTGCATATTTTTCCATTATTTTCTACAAGTGTGTGTAGGAACACAGGTATCTTTCTAATTGTTTACAAATAATGCATTAGTAATAATCGGTATCATCCATTTCGGGCATACATTTGTGCCAGTAACGTTAAACAGACGCTTCTGATTATAATTTCTATCAGTACCATCCAAATAGACGCTTCTG